AGGACAGATTTGCAATTGATTTATACATTACAGCGTCATTGCAGCGCTCCCCTAGACAAAATTGGCAAGAAACTATTTCATCAGTTAGAGTATTTTATTCTGCAGAATGCGGCAAAGTCGCTAACTCATTTTTGCCAAAATTTTCAGGAGGGCGATATTGTTCCTCAACTCTCGACACATAACATCCGCTTTCACAGCGCTCTTGAGCGATCTGAGACTGTGTTGAAAATATATGTAAATATATTCGTTGAGGATTTCATTTTCGAGCTTATAGTTGTGGCAATTGTTTTTACGTGAGGATTCCTATGCAAAGAAAACTTGCTACTTTTATCTAGTTCTGATTTTGTTGAGTGGTCCATTAATTACTTATACATCATCCCATAAAAATTATAGATGAATAGGGCTTTTGAATCATTGTTCTCCACCAGAGGCCTCCCCTTTTCAACCACAGAGTCAAAAAATAATATTATCGAGTCGCTTAAGTGCATAGTGTGAGAGGTACACTAAGTCCTTATGCAGTGTGTATTTAGTGAGGAAAGTATAGCATGCAGAGCATTTTCAACCTTCATTTGGAAAAGTATTTAGCAAAGAGCGAAAGAAAAATAACACGTATATCAAATACCCCATGACTCCCTGGAAATTCCCATGAAGTTAAGTACATGCAATCGCATAATAAAAAGCAAAACTTATGAATAGTTGGACATATTCATGCTAAAAGGAACTATATATAAATGAGTTAAGTCGAACGAGACTATGAAACACTCAAATCCTTGTGCATTTAGTTTGTTTTCATCCTTATGAGCAGGAATGCGTTCATTAGTTGATCAAGTCATAATTTCTAAATGAGTATGGGGATATCTTGCAAAAGTATAACCTAAGATTGATATGTGAGGATTGAATCAAGTATTTTAATCGGTCCATGCGCTTTAAAATTGAAGGATTTATTCCTGGAATCTATAAATAACATGCAGAAAACACGAGAAGCTCAAAAGCACGATAATTTTGCAAACAAGTACACATAAAGAGCGTAATCACGGCTTATCATTTATTTTCAATCACTTTAATCTAAACACCCGGCTCTGGAATCCACCCCAAGCCGAGAACTCAATACCACCAATTTATTCATGTTCGATCATATGAAAGTATTTATGATAGAAGGAACTATGTTACACGTAAACCCCGTACACTTAGTTCCTTCTAGCGTAAATACGTCCATATTGAATGATCATACATCATCAACTCGGTCGCGTGGGAGCAAACAGTGACTCGCTCGACGAGGAAGCTTTAGAGGCGCATTCTGTATGTAATATTGGAAGTGCAGCTAAGAACAGTGTCGCGAAATTATGCGAGAAAATGCACGCAGTTTTTACTGCACTAAGGTGAGACTAATTGTAACTGATCTAGGGACGAGATTCGTCATAATGTTGCACTGCTGCTCTTACAGCCCATGTCTTTGAGAAGTATATAGTCACTAAGTATTTACGCTATGGAGAACTGATCCAAAGTCCAAGCATTATTAATACTTGAATGCCATCTTTGTGAGGATTTATCGACAATTTACATTAAAAAAAGAAAAAAAATATTCCGGGATGTTGGAGTTTTTTTAGCCAACGTGCGTAAAAAGTTCAGCTTAAAGCTGAAATCTCATTAGAGAGGGAAAAAGCTCACACACAAGCACAATTTTCCCTCAAAGAGATATGCTGTTTGGAGCAACACTAATTACGTCCATTCACGGGGGTCCATACGGGGTTTGTGTAAAAAAATATTCCTTGAGATATTCTTTTGGCTTAAAGCCCCGTTTCTTGTCAACAAAATTGGTTTTTGTCTTTTAAGTTAAATCCGTGCGGAATCAACTCAACATCAGTTTTCGTGAGTTGAAAAAACATCATTTCGGTATCGTTAAGTTCAATTTAAAGAGACTGTCACAAAAAAACGTTCCCTCAGCTCAAAAAAACTGATTTTATGTTAAATCCACAGCAATATTTGGGATTTAACGGAGACTTGACAACGCAGTTGAGTCGGCCATACCAGACGACAAGGCGCCTGCTGCAGTCGACGGCTTTAAAATTTAAGCGGAACGAACCGCAACGGGGCTTTTTTTCCTTCCAGGAAAATCTTGTTTACTTTCAGACCGATGAAAAATGGGTTAAGCCCTTTTCGAAAGTGCGCCGCGGGTCTCAAAGCGCCTACTCAGATGTGCGGACATGCGTCGATCGACGATTCTCGGAAACTCAAGTCGGGAATATCCGGGGGACAAAATGAAAACGTGGAGCGGTTAATAAAGGTGCCAGGAGGACAATAGCGTTCCCAGAGCAATTTCGTATGTTAAAAAATATGGACTCAGCTCGCCAGAAAGGAACCCCTCTCACATTTTTGGGATAAAAATGAGTTGTGAGTGATTCTAAGCTCGACAAGTAAATTGCCTTTCCCTCCCAAAAAATACAAAATGTTGAATTGGAATATGTTACACGGGCAATTAACAATCATCTACAATCTACAAGCGATTCACGTGATCTTCCAGATATCACAATAAAGCTCCCCCTTTTGGTTGGTCGGTTTCCATAGAAGGATCAACGAACTTGGCCTTGGAAGATTTGCTCTTGTTCTTTGATACTTTAAATTCCCCGGGCATTCTTTTTGGATTTCTCCATTGGCGTGGCGTGCTTCGCGATGTGTCGATTGTTATGCCACTTAAACCTATGGTAAAGAATCAATTATTAAGGTGTTCGCTGCGAACACCCTGTCACTCGATCCTTTTCTATAGGTTTAAATGGCAGATCAATCGACACATCGCGAAGCACGCCACGCCACTGGATTTCTCGTTCTTGTCCCGGATGAGCATCCGTTGCACATCGGCATAGTGAGGATTAGATAGGCAATTCGCCGCGCTAAGGAAAAATGCCGTATGAACCTTCGGATTGTTGCCAAATTTCCTTTGAGAAAACACGAATTTCCTGGTAAACTTACGAAGATCTATCCTCCCATTTTCTCCAGATAATTTTGTTCGCAATTTCGCCTCAAGTTATTGAACATCTCAAAGGGAAATGTTCATGACATTTCTAAAAAATAAACATTTTATATTAGGAAATTTGGCAACTCTCGGATGTTCATACGGCGTTCTTCCTCAGCACGGCAGCATTCCCTTCATCACCATAATTTCGGCTTGGAGCGCCTTCATTTATTGTGATACTTTACGCTTTGTTGCGGAGTTAGTTTAGTTGCTTGTCCGATCGAAACCCAACTAAGGCCACGGATTTCACCACACGCTCACCGTAATATGCCTGTCACTACCTTTTTTTAAGTAGGAGGAAGTGTCGATTCATATTAAAGACAAAATAATCCGCGGTCTAATCTTCTTTCGTTGAGGGCACCCAAGGAGAGGTTATTGAAGGGATGGGATTGAAGTAGAAAGCTTAAGGTTCTCGATGCTCGAAAGGTTATGGTTCGAAAAGAGGCAATAGAGGTTTGGTGCCGCGAGGAATGTGCGCCAATCCTCGACTTAAATGTATTTAAGTGTTACAGTGATTTCATCTGAAAAAAATTGGACGAATTTTGAAGGAAACTCGATTTCGAAAATTTGACAATTACTGCTCTCTTCGCTATTAGTGCAGATCATAGAACTTCATATTTTTTGAAAATGTGAGATAACTGAAGAAAGTAGATGCGATTGACCAGCTTTTGATGGGGTATGAAGCACCTACGACTTAGCTGGGTCCTTAACTGCATGACGTGTCGGAGTCAAATCCTCCCCCCTCCCCTGCATTGTTGGATAACCGACTTTTATGGGGTATCGAAATGAGGCCGTTTCATGTTCTGGAATGGCCATTGTATAGCACTTGTGCACAACTGCATACGGAGTCGGAGTGTTCCAGCACGTATAAAAATGTATGGTGGAAACATAGACCAAGGTCATTCCCACAACTGACGTGCAACTTCACGAAATTTAAAGACACGGTATTTTTTTCCGAGTGGAGTCGGACTTATTTTAAGTTGAATATTCCCGATCATACCCATTCTAAATTTCCATTCTGTTAGGCACTTTTTTGTAAGGGTTTTTTATTCTATCAGAAAAACAAACTGGAAAACCTGAAATAGAGTCAAGATGGTCTTGCTTTGGAGGGCAGATTTTGATCTTTTCCCATGCAACTAAATCTAGTGTGCTCACTGTCAACAGTATTAATACTCTCTTTCCATTTGAAAGATGAGAATCAATTCAACTGATGCCAGATGACGTTAATAGGATATGCATTTTTACACTTTTAAATCTATTTTTATAGAGTTTTCCATTTCAGAAAAAATTATGAAAATACTACAAAATCAGCCACTTAAGAACTTGCAAGTGAAGCAATAAAACATTTGGGTGCAAATTCTCCATTGTCTTTAAATTGACTCGATCTACGGGTCATTGAATTGACTTGTCTTCAAATGGATGTATTTCTATCAAACGGAACTAAGCGCCGTAGGGGGAGGAAGGGAGAAGGGTGCTTAGATTGGTGGGTGTTGCGGAGCGCGATACTCGTTCCGTCCTACACTCGCAATGCTTTTCTATGGCGCTTAGTTCCGTTTGACAGATTGCGCTATCCAGGATTCTAAAATTCTCGAAGGGAACTCAAATTGGTGCTTAGTTCCGTTGAAAAGAAATACGCCCAAATGGGGAAAATATGGATTACATTTTACAAAAAAGAACCAAGAGCATTCCAATGTCGCTAAGATTGTGCAACTTTGTTTACCTTGCAAATACACACAGATTATCTAAACTAATTTTATCTCTACTCCCAGTAAACTAAAACTTAAAGGCGAAAATTACCTTTGTAAATTTAATTTTTTACATAATTCAGTAATTTTATCGAATGAATATAAGATACACAATCTTAGCAACATTGAAATGCTCTATCGGTTCCTTTTTGCAAAATGCAACCTATATATTATTGTTTTAACAGTTAGATCATTAAAATAAAAGCCTCTCTGAACTCACCAAATTTCCCTCTTGTGTGTTTCAGGACGATGACAGCCATCTGCTTTGTGTGCAACCTGCCGATCCTGTCGCACCAGGTCGGGCTGGTATGGCAAGGCGGGAACGGCTGGGACGACCTCATGCGGGAGCAGCTGGAGGAGTCGACCCTCCGGCAGCGGCTGGGCGCGGGTCGTCGGGACTCGGCCGCCCAGATCACCTCCATCTCGCCGCCGCTGGAGACCCAGGAGACCTCCCCACCGGCGCTCACCCGTCGCCGACGTAGCTCCCTGGCTCAGCTCACCGACATCTTCCGCGACTGGGGCGGCTCCGGCTCGGCCAAGGGCCGCGGGAAGGCCCTCACCCGCGGCGAGACCCTCGCCGACCTCGCGCGCTCCCTCCCGTGGGGCGGCGGCAACCAGGACTCGGTGAAGAAGCGACGAGAGAGCTCCGCCGACTCGGGGGTCAAGAGCAGCTCGACCAAGTCCCGCCGCGAGTCGAGCGTCGTCTCCGATTTCCGCTCGGATTTGGCCAAGTTGTGGTCCTCGCGCCGCGTGTCCACCGTCATCGTCCCGACGGTGAGGCGGGGGTCGGGAGAGTCGGGGCACTCGGACCGACGGGACTCCCTGGTGACCTCGCGACGGGGGTCTGGTGAAAGCGCCAAGAGCGGCCGCCGCGACTCCACCACCGACCGAACCGGCGAGCACCGGCATCACCATCATCATCACCATCGCCGACACTCTCGGCATTGCTCAAAACGGCGGGAGTCGAAGGTAAACTTACTGGGTATTCCTCGTTTCCATTCGCGACTTTAACCCAATGCCTGGTTACACGATCAAATTCCCGTCAAATTCCGATCAAAATTATGACCAAGATGGCGGTCGATAGTTATCTAGATTGATGATTTAAATTAATTAAAACAGCGTGTTGATTGAAATAAGCATGCATGAAATAAGTCCGGTTGTGTGGAAAGTAGATGAAGGATGAGCCTCACAGTTCCATCACCCACCATCAAATTTTTGCAGGCCGCAGAAATTTGATGGTAGATGGTGCGCACCAGTCACCATTTGATCGGAAATTGATCAGAATTTGAGCGTGTAACCAGCGCATAAGATATAATCGAGCTGAAAGAAGTTTAATTTGGATGTATTAATTCTGACATCTTGTCTTATATTATCAGGAAAAAAACCAATCTGATTTTCGTGCGCACGGCGCCATCTTTGTTCTAATCGGTTGATCAATTTATCGTCTCCCGAACAAAGGAACGTAACTGTATTCCAAGGATGCAAGATTGACTCGAAAGATTCAATTTTCTAAAAGGTTGTAGCTGTGCGAATTTGCAAAAATTGTTTCGATTCTTCCGAGAGATTGGTGAAAAAACACCATAATTTTTAGACAGAGAAATCGAAGTTTTTCCTAATAAAAATGAACTTTGCGAGGAAAAATTTTGCAAAATTGAAATGAAGTCATGTTCTTTTGTAAGGGAACTGACAAATCAACCAATCTGAAAACGTCATTGGAAAGGCTGAGGTGACGTCATAATGGCTTTTCTGAATAATTCCTTTCTAAAGTATCGTGATTTTCATATATCCTCATTCTGTCTCCTCTATAAAATAATGACGTCATCATCACTGTCTTTGCTCAGTGGTTCTAATCGGTTGATGAATAGACCAAGCAGACATTTTCATTGAAAAGCCAGAATGACGTCACAAAGACGACTCTTGGGCGTATTTAGCTGAATAAAAATATATGAAAATGAATTAAATCAAAAGAAACTTCTTGCGTAGGTTTTGCATGCTATACAGTTCCTTTTAGAGTACCCATATGGGGAAAATACGAGCTAGTCGAAATAATGAGCTCTTAAGGCCCAAAAGGGCAGCCAACCGTCCACGACAAAAAGACACTAGAAAAGCGCCCGCGCCGCCGCCAGTCTTCACATTAAAATATTATTTATTATATTCCAATATTTTCCCAACATGGCCAAGAAAGCTTATAAATGAGCGTCCTTCCGCAAAACTGTGTAAAATGCAAAAACTACGCCAAATACATGATTTTCAAACAAGGAGTCGTAACAATTGTAATGCCATATCATTCTGAATAATTGGAGTCACGGGTGCTGCCTTTTTGAGTCCTAAAAGCTTTGACCTGATCTCCAAAAGCACGTATTGAAATGAAAAGTAACAATATCCATTTTAACATGCGCCCTGGGATCCACAAGAATACATGTGAGACATTGCTCATGTCACAATGGACGGAGTTCCTTCTCATTTCGGTAACTCATCAATTCCATCGATGAGCCTCTATAAAGCCCCTACACGGAGAAAAAAACCTCGTGCGTGGTACCCGAAGTTTAGGTCATATGGATCTCTGAACTTTTCGGATTGAGCATCTGAACACTTTAGGTCTAGCTGCTGAGGTTCGGATCACACATCTGAAACTTCAGCTCTTACATCTGAAGCACTTCAGACGTGAGAACCGAAGTTTTTCGGATGTGAGAACCGAAGTTTTTCGGATGTGAGAACCGAAGTTTTTCGGATGTGAGAACCGAAGTTTTTCGGATGTGAAAACCGAAGTACTTCAGATGTAAGAACTGAAGTTTCGGATGTGTGATCCGAACTTCAGCAGCTGGACCTGAAGTGTTCAGATGCTCAATCTGAAAACTTCAGAGATCCATATGACCTAAACTTCGGGTCCCACGCACGAAGTTTTTCTCTCCGTGTAGTTTGTGCGAGGGCTGGTCGTTTTAGTGGAGGATCTCTTATTTTTTCTCCGATCATGACATCATCCACCCTGTGATCCGAGATTGGATTTTGATTTGATTTTTTGATTTCAGGCGGAGGCGCTGAAGTCGCACCGGGAGGACTCGAAAGAGTCCTCGGCGGCTCTGCCGGTGGTGACGACGACGGTGACGAAGGTGGACGACTCGACGCAGGCGCTGCCCCCGCCGACGATCATCACGTCCTCGGTGACCCCGCCGCCGACCTCGCCGATCGCCCCGCCGACCTCGATCGTCATCCCGACCCCGGTCCTCGCCGGGACCCCCGTCCCCGCCACCACCACCGCCTCCGGCACCGTGGCCACCACCACCTCCGCCGGCTCCGCCGCCAACACTTTCACCCCCGTCGTCACGCCCTCCGCCACCACCCCGACCCACCCTCTCGTCACCACCAGGCGAGACTCCACCACACAGGTGAGAACCAGTTGATACAAATTTTTAAGAGCAGCCCAAGACAATGATAACAGTGGAAAAACAAGGATGAAAAACGGGAAACAAGGCTAAAAATACACAATTACTGAAACCCGAGACGTTTCGACTCAAAACTGAGTCATTTTCAGTCGGAAACAATAACAATTTAAAAGAAAAACGATAAAAAACCTGAGCCCTACATGGTGGTGGCCGGGATCTGAGAGAAAGAAAAAATCGATAACAAACCCGAAAAATGATTGGTTGATTGAGAAAATTGATTGGTTTGTTATCAATTTTCTCTTCCTCTCAGATCCCGGCCACCACCATGTAGGGCTCAGGTTTTTTATCTTTTAAATTTTTATTGTTTCCGACTATAAATGACTCAGTTTTGAGTCGAAACGTCTCGGGTTTCATTAATTGTGTATTTTAGCTTTGTTTCCCGTTTTTCATCCTTGTTTTTCCACTAAGAACCAGTATTTCTAACTGTCGCAGGCAAATAGTCCAATCAGGCATTTTATCAAATGCGTAGGCAAACAGTCAAATGGACCGCGTTAAGGAGAAATGAACCAAGCCAAATCAGTTATTGCCAAATTTAACAGAGCAATGGAATTTATTACAAGGGAACGTTTGTGCGGATACGTACATTAAGCCGCTTTTATAGCGCAGCCTCGCGCTCTGCGACGCCCAATCGCTATTGCCCCATATCGCCCCTAGATACCTTAGATTGGTATTCTAATTCTTTTTCTTATTTTAGACAAAATAATTTATTGCTCTCGTAAAAAAGAAATCTCTGTAAACATTAGGATCATAGGGTAGTATTTTAAGCGATTTTTAGCACGTGAACGAACATTTATGTAGAAATTTACAACACAGAATTTTTGGAAATTTAACTTTTAAGTATATGAGAATCATATGAAGGGGGAGTAATGAGAGGTATAGAGATATATAATTCGTAGATTTAATGAATCATTTTCTCCAAAATATTGAAAAATGGTGAGCTTTTCGTCATAAATTTACAAAATTTCATAAAATGTCAATATTTGACTATCTGCCTAGCAATTTTATCAGATGCTTGATTTGACTAATTGCCTGCGACGTATCCAGACTGCGAGGATGCCAATAAGATTTTCATGGCATGGATCTGTTGCGCGCAAGAGATACAACCGTGTGAATAGATTTCTGAGAGGTAAAATGACACAAACATCAAGATGAGAACATTAAAATTGTCTAAAATTCACTCCTTTGTGCACACTCTGCGTGGTTTAGAACACGCTCTCTCAAATATCCTGTGGAATGAACCTTAGAGGATCACCCTGTACTAATACTATCGACCATCGTGCCGATTGCTATCTTAAATAATTACGCTGCACGGAAAAAAATTAAATGTTGCTTTGGCATTTATACTGTTAAAAAGATGTCCGATAAGTTCCAAATGCTGATTTTACAATACAAAAATGCTAACATAACATTTTAATTTGTACGTTTTGCAGTGGGCGTAGTTACTTTAGCATTTGTTAAAATGTAAAATCAGCATTTGAAACTTGTCGGACATCTTTTTAACAGTATTAATGGTATCTCAACATTTAATTTCTTTCCGTGTGCAGTAATAGTGGTCCAATCTAATAGCCAGGAGTCCCGGTGTTATAGCCTAACTCTTCTCCTCTCTGTAAAATGCCTGTGGAACGTAGGCGGATGAGGTAGAAAAACTCACGAAATCAAACACTGCCCATTTTAGTTATTCGGGAGGGAAACATCGGGAAACCCCCGCTTGTTTATATATTCATGATATCTCACATTTAACGGATGATCTGCTTTATGATTATCGAGGAATAAAGTGGGTTAATAGGCACCACTACGCAAGATGAGCCGCCTAATCGAGTCGGGATAAAATATTCAGAGCCCCTCGCGCCCTTTACGGTTCCGAATAGGTATTTTTATCGGCAATGGCTCTTTTAAGATGGATTTTTTGCGTGATTTAGAACCAAATCGAGCAGGAAATCAAACCGAGCTGGATTCTAGCCGCCTCTCAATGGCTTTTTTACCAATGTTGCTAGGTGGCCGCCGGAGATCGACGAATTGATTTTGAAAAGAGACGATAGCCTCTAAAAATGATATTCTTTCGAACAGATAAACCTATTGGAAAACTATTTATTTGGTTTACAAAAGCTATAATGCGTAATAGTCTGCGACGAGACAAGTTGGACTTCATTTTGCAATTTGGAACTATAAATTCTAGCCCGGTTTAAAAACAACATATGTGCCATTAGTTTCCCTATGCGGTTTAAGTGTTTTTTCAGAAGAGCCAGAATTTATAGTTCCAAATTGCAAAATGCAGTCCAGTTAATCTTACGCAAAGGCAAGGTACTAAAATAAGACCAATTGACCGTATGCATGTGAATATAATTGGACTTGGATCAATTTGATTGGATTTTGGAGAAAAAGTATTTAATTCCTCGAGGTTTTAGGTTCGAGGTCTTAGAACTCAAAAGAAAAACTCACCGATCAATACTGCTTTTACTGAAATTAGAAATGAGAAAGAAGAATAAGGAGTTACACGAAATAGGAAGAAGGAAAAAGAGGAGACGTGTTCCATAGTAGTATCCTGGTTAATTGCAGTATTTTGACAATTTTTGTTTCGTGTCTAAATCCCTTCGGCAGGCAATTGCTAACTTTTATCATATTTATTTACTATAAAAAGTTCTGAAAATTATTTTCAACAGTGCTGTGTTGTGAAATTTCCAGTCTATTACGTACAGATGCGAAATCAAATTAGATTCTTGAAGTAAAATTTAGACTTAATTTTCAAATAACCCCTTCTTGGGAAAAGTCATGTTTCTCTGAGGAGACGTCACAACATATTATTGTCTCTCAGATTCCACGGGTATATTTGATTTTAGGTTCCTGTTTGATGCAAAGGAATTTTTATCAAAAGAAACTGAATCTTGCCAAAAGACGGATACAGGGTTGAATTCTTATAGAATACACGTACAGCAAGTAAAGTTCCAAACGTACCGGGAAAATAACAACACGTAAATAAGATTCAAACGCTGAACTGAAAACCCGCGCGTTTGGCGAGAAACTTACGAGAATATCAAAAGGGTCCCTGATCTAATTTAAAGACTGAGCATCGTTTTCCTCCTGGGTTGTCAAATTGAGAAAATATTTAGAGATTTTTTTGATCACCACATATATTTAAAGTTCATATCATCTGAAACTCCTAACAATTAGACACACCCACCATGGCAGTAATGGCCTTTCAAGTTTCAAAAGCATTTTTTAAAATAACCTTTAACGATTTTTTTGCAGGACACTTTGTCTATTTTTTTCTTTCAGTAAAATGTGCGTCCGGTAAAATATAGTTTAATAGTCTTCGTAAAATTACTACTTTTTTTAAAAAAGTTTTTTGACATTCGATCAAACTTTTTAAGCGTTGAAAAACCATAGTAGATTTTTCAAGAGGCTTTGATTACTTTTTCACATACATTTAGCATCTCGTAAATTTTATTTAAAAAAAAAAAAAAATTGGTTTCCTCAAACATAAATTTTACTTGTTTTTTTAAGAGTTGTTTCATTAAAACTTTTAAACTTTCGAGTTTCTTAAAAGATCTTTCTAAAGTCGTTGCTTCAAGGTGTTCTATTTTCATCCTCTTCTTTGCGATGCTGGGCGAGCTGATCGTTCATAAATCCCAAACAGACGGAACTATCTTTTGAAGTATTTAAAAATTTAAGATCGTCGGGATTGAAAAACATGTTTTGCCGCCCACGGTCACTTTATCACTTGTAAATTTACATTTCTCCAGCGACTTGAAGCTTATTTGGGCCGAGATTTACCCCAGGGTAGAATGTTGAAGATGCTCTTACTTTCATGTCGTGCGGAAGCAAAAACGAGTCCATACTCGGAAAATAAAACAGTCTTAATCTTAAGAATATATAATTTGAAATGCAGAAATTACAAGTTTAGACATGGTTTGAGTCAAAATCTATGTCTATATGAGCTTTTAGATCTTAATTACTTTTTTTCGGAAGACAAATAAGGACGTTGGATCAGCAGCTGGAATGTTGAAAATCAGCGTGAGAACTCTTAAATAATAACATGAACGATTTATCCATGAATGTATCACAATTCCAACAAAAAATTAACATCCGGCGCGTTTGAACAAACATATTTGAGAATTGTCACGCACATTTTCAACATTCCCGGTGTTGACTCAACATCCTTTCTAAACTATGTGTGCATAGATGTTAAGAAAAGAGATGCTGGGTTTGACACTCAAGCACCCGAAAGTCATTACGCCGCCATGAATATTTAACGCAGTTCGAAACTGCAATTCTTGCAAAGCGGGTAAAATTCGTCAACTTGGGCTGCCGTAACCAAGCGGAATTCGTCAGTTTACTAAGTGTAAGCAATTACTCCACGCTGTGCTCATCCTCCCTGTTGTCAGTTGACCTTAAAATTCATTCGATTTTCATTGCATGATTGGCATAGGAATGACATACTTTAGTTGGCAATGAGGCTTCGGACTTGTAACGGGCGATCACTGGGACGTACATTGTTTGGCAATCGAAAGCAGTTTGAACAAACATACTTTAATGGTGCATCTTAGCTCATTAGTTCCATTGATTGATTTTGGCAAGATAACCGGGGAATTATTATCAGGGCTTTATTTTGAGGATACGGATCTACAATATAATTCAGATGCAAAGTGTGTATTTATTCCACAATTTGCAGAAAAATATAGGAGGCAACTCGAAGAACAAAGTCGGAAACAATAATAAGATCATTTTTATTTCATTGAACTGCGTTTGAATGTTACGATGGATGTTGAGCTTTAAAACAAGGCGTTTTTTCCCAAGCCAATAGAAAATAGAATTTACAATTCAGATACAACTTAAAAGAAAGTATTCAATCCTTAGAGCCAAATTTGAGGAGCTAATGAGAGTGTAAAAGAACGATTTTTACACATTCGAACTGTAGCATTGGATTACTCCGGACAGATGTTGAA